ACTTTCTCTCTTTCTCTGTCACTGATCCTCTCTCTCTCTCTCTCTCCCTCTCTCTCTCTCTCAATATATATATATATATATATATAAAATGAATATATAATGAAATTGTTTATTTTATATATATATATATATATATATATATATATATTTGGTTGGATAGATGTGAATTTGTGAACCTGGGTTTCACGCTTTACAAAAACATCACACCAACAATAAGTTGGGAAATATTGAAAAAAGCCCTGCCTACAACAACATTACGAAAAAATGCCTACGTTGCCTACACGAAAAAGTAGCAATAATATCACACAAACCGCAAAAGAACTTGCTAAACAAAAAATCAGAGATAATCTCCATATGTAGGCATGAGAACAAGTACCTATTATCCGAATTCATACCAAACGGATAAAACAGACAAACCACCAACAATCACAATTTAATTTCAAGATACCATCAAAATAATTGCACCTATCATTATTATAATTGCACCACCATTAGTAATCACTTTTACTACAATACCTTTTAACTAACAATATTATCATTACCACCAACGCACAGCACCATCACTTACACATCACACCCACTATTAACATATAAATCCACTACAATCTTTATTACTCCCCCAGCATATTTAATACCTTAAAACAATATGATCAGATATAATTTCCATATGTAACCATGAGAATAAACACCTATTACCAGGCAGCTTTAATATAATAACAATAATAATTTTGTAATTAAAAATTAAAAATTATAGCAATCTCCAACTACGATAATTTTACACAAAATACCTATTATCAGGATTTATACCAAAATAAATTAATACATATAACAAAATAAAACAAAAATAAAATAAAACACCAACAACCACTTTTTAGTTCAAGCTACCACCACTATAACTACATTCATGGTTTTACCATTCTCCCACCACCGTTACTAATCATTTCTACCAATTTGCAATTTCTTCCAATTTACAATAACTATTAGCTAAATATCATTGTCTCCAATCCCTTGAAACATTACTATCACATCATATCATATAGACCCGTTATTAAATTGAACTACCCTCTCACCCAGTATATTAAACATCACCATATAAATTAAACAATAAGGATTACAAATTTTTACCTGTTACACATACACAGTCACAAAAAACAAACAAATAACCAGCTTTAAATATAACAAATAAACCCCCATTTTTTCAAAAATTTAAAAATAAATATAAATAATAATAATAATAATTTTTACCTATCATGATTTTACACAAACCCCACCACACATATATACATACATGCGAGAAAATATTTTTCAAATATTTTTCAACGGAAAAAAAATATATATATACATAATATGACATGGATACATTCACGAGACATTAACGAGACATTTCCGCCACACTTCCAATGTTTAAATTTCAACATTTCAACATACAAATGCGTATGTATAGACATAACACCACCCGTATACATACATGTGTCATAGCCGAAACTGCCCCCATATGTTTATATATGTATGAGTCCGACGGACGACCAAGTATGTATATGTGTCTGCATACATCGATGTTTGCGTTAGTACGATGAATGACAAAACGACGAAATTTCCCCACCACTTCCACAATAACACCAATACACGCAATCTACATAAACCCAAATTTTTTAAAACATTAATCAGTTTGTCTGACGATTGCTAAAGCGTGAAACCCAGGGTCACAAACTCACATCTATCCAACCAAATATGTTAGCTCTATCTCTGATATTGAGCGCTTTCTAATAAGTACCATATATATAATATATAAATAATTATACATATATATATATTTATTTATATTTATATACACTTTTCACACACACACACACACACACACACACACACACACACACACATATATATATATATATATATATATATATATATTCTGTCTATACGATATTTTATAGATATATGCTGTATGCTTTTAATTAAACCGTATTAATTACATTTACCGTCCTAAATGTTCGACAAATTTTCGTAGGAGTAATTTAATTAAAAACACAGCATTTACTGAAAGAAATTTATCTATAAAATAACGTATGCACAGAAAATATATTAAATAATTGGCAGACTTAGTCTATTTCCTTGTATACTGTCATTGCTTACAATATATACAGATATATATAAATATATATATATATATATATATATATATATATATATATATATATATACAGATATATACGAGAAAAGGTGTCGAAGATTGTTTATAAACAGTAAATTCGGATTTTGCTAACCAGACGCTTCTCTGTAGCTAAATGGTATGGCACAATAGATCAAATGACGGTTTCTGTCTAGGTATACGGCTTCGATTATTGTCAGAGGACGCATATTTTCTACGAAAATTTCTCGAACGTTCAGGCCGGTAAATGTAATTAATACTATTTAATTAAAATAAAATAGAGAATTTATTTAAATAAATCATATCTATAAAAATAACTTATAAACTGAATATATATATATATATATATATATATATATATATATATATATATATATATATATATATATATATATAAGAAACTTATCTTATTAAAAGTAATAGACACTCTATGTCTATTATATGTATTGATGATTTAATTCAACCTTTCGACCAACACTCGTCATCGTCAGGTGTAGGAAGAAGAAAAGAGAGGAAAAGAAAATCAAATGTATTTGCAACAGTACCTTGTTTTAAATGTGTCGTTATTTTTTGTTTGAAAACGAAATCCGATGCAGTAGAAGGCAGTAAATCATGCCAGCAACGTGCAAGGGCAACGCTAGGAAGCGACGTGTTATGCTGTGTATTTTCTTTTTATGAACTCCCAAATACGGGATCTTCAAAAACGCTCTTAGATTAGTTATCGGATGAATGCTTGTAAAGAATGTAAATGGCTTCTCTAATCAATAAGCATCGATATTCGCTTTGAATGAATCAGTTTTATAGAGATACATTTCCGTTGTATTGATATCTTTCAAAATAAATCCATGGTGAGATGGATAAATTGTCACCATTTTATATTTTATAATGTCACGTATGCGAATAGTTTGTCTTTAGTTTTGTCGACTTCACAGTATAGTAGGGTCAGTTGGGCACCGTCTGTGAGGAAAAAAAAGAGCTTCAAAATATTCATCAAGTTCCTTGGGTCAAGATGTTGGCTGCTGGAACACTCTGCACTATGCCACACAAGCAAGAGAATCCAGACAATTTATGTGACCACATCACTCCTTACATCTGGTTACCTAACTCCCAAGACTGGGGCGCAGTTGGGCAAGAGACCATCAAAGCAAAACTCCATATTGTATTCATTTCTATGCTTGGTCGGCTCAAGAGATTTTTATGGCCTATCATATATGGTGATTAGTTAATTTTTCGTATTTTCCAGTTATGTGTTCAGTTACACCTGATTTTTTCTATTTCCCAGTGTTAGCGCTTTACAATGTTCTTGCAGTCTTACCTTAAGGGGGCAGCCTGTTTCTCCTTTTTATTTCTTACCATACTTTGATGCCAAGCTGGTTCAGTTGAGAAATGATGATAAAATGAGGATTTTTATCAGCCCAGTACACGCTGTTTTACATGTTCATGCGACCTGACAATTTGAAGCAAGCCTCATCTGATCAGATAATGTTATCCAGAAGGTCTGGCTGCTCCTTAGTTATTTGGTCACACGCGATTTCGTAGAATTGCAATCGATGATCTGAGTCGTCCCGCTAAACTTCATCTACCAGTCGTGGTCTGTATGTTTTTTTTATTTCAGCTTACGCATTAGACGTTCTCTGTGTGGATACTCCCATAGAAGCACGTCGTGTGGACTTCGTTGGACTGTTCACAAATGTCAGTCACTCTTGTCTCCTTTTCATCAGTCATCGAACTCGACCGGATTTTGGTAAATTAACCACCAAACCTGTGCTTTCAAATTCATTTTTTATGCAATAAATTGTCTGACGTGAAGGTGGGCAGGTATTAAAGACTCCTCGCCATGATGTGCGTACCTGGTCGGCAATTTCACACTTCCAATACTACTTTCACATCCATTTTCTTTGCAGTTGATTTAAATTGTTTGCCATTACTCACAATCCCCGTAATTATAATAAAGAAAAAAAAATCCCCATAAAACTAGAAACCGAAATTGGAGGAAATATCTTCATATTTCCAAAAAATGAATAAGGGATATGGAATAATGTTTTGGAATTATGATTTGGATAAATTAGATCTAAAACAAATATCTTTATCCTATTTTGGGCCAATACCGTACAATTAAATCACGTATTACATACTTTTGTGATGTCAACGAACACTCGTAGCCAATTTTGTAATGTCAACGAATACTCATTGTCACTTTCGTAATGCTCGTTGTAGTAGAGACTTTGTAATCGCAGATACAACTATAGTATCGCCGTTGATCAATACTGGGTCGAAACCAAGGTAGTGCAGTAGGATATAGAGTTTTACCTTTATATATATATATATATATATATATATATATATATATATATATATATATGAAGAGAGAGAGATAGAGTGAGAGAAAGAGAGAGTTAACTTTATTTTTATTGATCTCTCTTACAGCTTGCAGCCTGATGAAGAAAAATCCAGTGAAAATATTTTTTGAATCCTTCACTACTCGAGTAATTTCATATATAACGGGGAAAACAGCACAAAATCCAGACACCCCGCAAAAAAAAACAAAAAAAAAACAATGAAAAAAAGAAAGAAAGAAAGAATATTGACTGATTTGTTTTTTATGGCCTATCAACCTTTGCAGGTTATTTAAAACAGGAAAAATATTTTTAGATTTTAAGACTTTTGGGTTGATAATAATAATTTACTGACACAACTCCAACTATTTAACCTATAGATGGGGGAGATTCATACTTTTCCCAATTACATTTCTGCGTAAGTGAATATAACGAACCCATCTGGAACTGGAAACTCGTTTTCCCGATGTCCAATTTTGTAGACGTTATCCATTACACCAGCCACGCATCCAAGTTTACAGCAACTGGTAATCCCGAGCGCTACCCATCTAGGTACTGAGCAGGATCAACGTTGCTTAACTTCGTTGATTTTACGGGAACTGGAGTTTCAACGTGATATGGCCATAGAAGCCAAAATAAAATATAAGCGTTTACAAATCAACAATTCGCCCTTGGATAGAGTATTGCTGCCATATATGGTCTGGAGCCCCTTCTGTTTGCTTCGGGGTTCTTGATAAGACTAAGAGGCGGATATGCAATATTATTGGCTCTGATCTGGCATCTCGTCTACAGTCGCTCTCTCACAGACGCGCCGTCGCCTCTCTCTGTCTTTTTAACAAATACTTTCATGGTAATTGCTCCGAGGAGCTGCATTCACTGGTTCCCAGACTTCATGAATTCAAGCGCCCTACGACGCTGGCATCCTGCTCTCACCCTTTCAATGTCGAAACTCCTAAATGTAGCCGTCTCTTCTACTCCAATAACTTCATATCTCGCAGCTCTCGCTTGTGGAACACCCTTCCCTATTCCAGTTTCCCTGAGAGCTATAATCTCCAACTATTCAAATGTAATGTCAATCGACGTCTCCAGTTGCCTTGATCTATCCACTACCATTCTCCTCATCCTTTCCTCTATCACTCCTATCTGATCTTGCTCCGAATTTTCTGTAACCCCTTGCATCCTAGTGGCTTCCCGCCTTGCTTGCGGTGAAACGCTAAAAAAAAAAAACAAACAAACAAAAAACAAACCAAAAAAACAAAAAAAAAAACTAGGCACATTATATTCAATAGACATTCCATAACTAATTAACCTGAAAGAGATTTAGCTAATCTCACTATAAAATTTATCACAAACACTTCAAAGAGAGTTAAAAGATAAAAATTTAAAACTGATTTAATTTTACTGTAGAAGCATGTACCAAATAGAGTATAAAGAAGAGACGAACATAAAAGGAACGCTGAATTAAACAACGCACTCGATGCACTTGTATGCTACTGAAACCTTCGTGATCACAATTTCAACCTAGTATATATATATATATATATATATATATATATATATATATATATATATATATATATATATGCATGCATTTATAAAAGAAACATTGTTTGGCGATTAACTGATATATTTTTATGATTTTATGTGTAGGTAGAGGTCATTTAATTTTTGCTTTTGTTAGTTTTTTTTTTTTTTTAGTAGATTTAAGCATTTCTCTATAGGGACGTTTGTGTATAGAGCTTTTATATATAAACTAGCCATATATTTTTTTAATGTCTATGTTTTTTAATTAATTCAGGAGGTCACCTGAATTTTTTGTCGGTGATGGACTAATAGTACCGGGGAAACTCAGCAGAATTTTAACCCCGCTCCTCGGCATTACCTCTACCTACACATAAAATCATAAAAATATGCCAGCAAGCAATGTTTCTTTGCATTTGATGACCAGCTTTACAGATATATATATATATATATATATGTATATCTGTAAAGTTGGTCATCAAATATATATATATATATATATATAGAGAGAGAGAGAGAGAGAGACAGAGAGAGAGAGATGTCTATATTTTGGAGGTGAGATATTGCAATTATTTAAACTATTTTATTTACAATGTTCGGACTGTTGACATATTCATGACGTTTCGGCCGTTGTTCGCTCTGGCTTTCTTCAGGTGATTGGAATTTCGAGCAGAAACCTTTATTTCGTCTACCGGGGTAGATTGCTCTAGTTCCACATGCCTTGCCTCTTCCTCTTTTATGTCTCAGTGATCTTACTTTAACTCAACTCTTTTTTGTTCACCACTGCAGTACCAGGGTATTGAACTCACAACTATTTGGTTCAAGTCACTGGATCCAACCAAAAGCTTTTGTCCACTGGGGCATGTGTCCTCAAGGACAACCCAGAACAATCTACCCCGATGGACAAAATAAAGAGTTCGATTTGAACTTTCCAATCGCCTGAAGATTGCCGGAGTGTACTAAAACGTCGTAAATAAGACAAGAAAGATGAGGACAACAGTCCGAACAATTTAAATAGTATAAATGATATATATATATATATATATATATATATATATATGTATATATATATATATATATATATATATATATATATATATATATCTCGAGAGAGAGAGAAAGAGAGAGAGAGAGAGAAATTAATATGAGTAGAAGTTTATCTCTGATCGAAGTTACTGTCAGCATTCCGACTCTAGAGTTTCGTAGACGGACCTGTCTGTCCATTCTTCAGGGTTATCAGCAATTTACAACTTATATTTTTCGATTTTTTTCGACACACACACACACACACACACACACACACACACACACATATATATATATATATATATACATATATATATATATTATAATATTTTTTGTTTAAAAATATGATTCCTTCTCATGTTTCAAATACGAGAGCCAAAACCATCCAAATAATTATTAAAATTAAGTTGAATTGAGGTGTTTAGTCCCGTTTCATCTTCAAGCGAAATTTTAGGAATAGGTTTATAAGCTCTACTTCTATATGGAGCACTGTCTTCTTAAAAATAAAAACAAAAATACTAAGGAACTCCGGATTATGCACCCAAAGTGTTCTTTTTCTATTTTCTGCATACTTGCGCACTTATATATATATATATATATATATATATATATATATATATATATATATATATATATATATATCTTTTAATGGGGCTTAATGTTTATGCGTGTTTGGCTTTCGTATTCTTTTTGTTCAATTGAATTTTCGTATTTTTACCCCTGTTAACGTGCTTCCTTTTCTTTCATGGTGGCGGATCTTGTGATGCATAATTTTCAACACGTCAGCAGGTTGCAAACGCGACACTTTTGATGAAAGCATTTCCTCGTCAGATTTTCTTTTACCTAAAGATTTAAAAAAAAAAAAAACAACAACAAAAGAAACAATATTGAGTGGTAAATTAAATCGAAGAGCCTTTTAAGCAATAGAATATTTTTGCTTGTATTTTATGATGCAGGTTATAGAGATCTATAAAAATGCTTTATAGACGTAAATGCCTATACGTACATGCAACGACACACACACCCAAACGGACACACACACACACACACACATATACACACTACAGTCCAAAAGTTTTAGTGAACTCGTATTTTTTTTAAATTGCTTTAAAATGTAGTTTTGCACTTTAGAAAATTGTGAGAAAATTTTTTATGCATAATTAAAAAAGAATGAAACGATTTTTTTTACATTAGAAATCGTTTTATGACTAAAAACAAAGTAATTTTTGATTAAATTTCGCTCTCGTCAAAATATCCTCCTTTATCCTTGATGACTGCAGTCCAATTTTTTGGCATTCGTTGCAAGTTTCCCAAAGTAAAAATTTGAAAATTGATTCCATTCTTCTTTTTTTTTTTTAATAAGTCTCAGAGCTCTTTTCATTTTTCTTCTATTTCATTCTCAAGTAAAATTTTTCGTTTGAGAATGAAACAGAGCTTGATTGTTTAATTCAATTTAATTTTAATAATTATATTGAAGTTTTTGGCTCCTGTTTTGGAAACATGAGAACTCTTACATAGCGAAGGATTCATATTTTTGAAAAATAATTATAACATATATATATATATATATATATATATATATATATATATATATATATATATGTATATATGAAGAAATATAGTCTTAAGATGTGCTATATTTTTGGGATAAAGTGCTCAATATTTGAGATAGAGCGTGTGTAAATATAAAAGTTAACATAGAAGACAACACTTAGAAGCGACAGTCTGTTTCATGCTATATGCAATCGTCAGGCCACATACAAGTCAACACTTAGAGGCGACAGTCTGTTTCATGCTAGATGCAATCGTCAGGCCACATACAAGTCAACACTTAGAGGCGACAGTCTGTTTCATGCTAGATGCGATTGTCAGGCCACATACAAGTCAACACTTAGAGCGACAGTCTGTTTCATGCTAGATGCAATCGTCAGGCCACATACAAGTCAACACTTAGAGGCGACAGTCTGTTTCATGCTATATGCAATCGTCAGGCCATAAAATTTCACTTTTGACAGTCTGTTTCATGCTGGATGCAATTGTCAGGTGGCCTGAGGATTGCATATAGCATGAAACAGACTGTCGCTCTAAGTGTTGACTTATGTTCACTTTTATATTTATATTTATATACATATAATATATATATATATATATATATATATATATATATATATATATATATATATATATATATATATATATCAAGGTTACAACTGACTTTCGAACTGCGTTTGAGGTAGTTCCTGCGGATGTCTCCTGATTGACATATTATGCATTGAGTACATAGAACATTTTATTAAACTTAAACAATATTTTTTATACAGTTAACCGCTTTCATCAAAACAATGATATAACAATGATATAATTTTCTTATTTGGAACTTATTGCAAATCTGCATCATAAACCAATCGGTTTAAGTATAAATAGCTTGTTTCCATTATCAACACTTGAACAATCAACATAGAGCTGGCAGTGAGAAAAGCAATGTTCCATTACATGAAGTCCAATTACTTTCAATGATCGTCCTCGTGGCTTATTGATTGACATTGCACCGCTCACTGGAAACTGAATTCTTTCGAACTCAGAAGGAAGATCTGAAGGAATCAAGGGTATTCTTGAGAATGAAACTCTTTCCTCCTTTTCTGGACCAGTAAGGATCTCGGCTTCCAAGAGATGAGGAAGCATCTACTTGACAATTGACTTTACTCCATTAGAAAGTTTTGGAGATTTCTCAATAGCATAACTGGCACATTTACTTTTAGTTCCAGCTTGTGTGATGACATTCCAGGAGGATTCAATGAGTTCGGGAACTCTATTGGATAATTCACTGCCTGCTCTTGTTCAACCAGAGTTTCTATGGAAAAGTGCTTTATTTTGAAATTTCTTGGAGAAGTTTCCAGTTGATGCTATCCGCATTTTGATTCTTGCGTGCTAATATGACGTCAGGCAAAGCCAGTTTGGATGAATGAAACATTGTTAATCGAGTCTTGGACAGTTGAAACTGAAGCTCCACAACCAGAATAGCTCCGTTTTGATTCATTTTGATGGTTCCATTGCCAGGCTGAAACAGCAATGCAGCAAA